GCTTTTCCATTTTTCACTGTAGCAATACACTGCGGTATTTCTAAATTACTTATCCTTGTATAAGGAATAACTACATCACCATTTGTGATATTTGAGATTTGGATCTCGATTATTTTCTCTGTACGAGGTTCTACTATAATACAATTTGTACTAGGTAATGTTTTATGAAAATGTATCTTCGTACTGGTATTTGGAAGTACAAATGTTTCATTATCTAGGTCAATAAATGCTTTCATTAGTTTCAAGTTATCGACTCCTAATAAACAATCAAAATATTTGTGAAAATTGAAAAGATAAAACTTTAACCTATTGTTCACTTTTGTGTTGAACATATCAATAGAAGGTATTGTAGTACTGAAATTTTCAGTTGAACTTCCATGAACCGTGGAAATTTGAAATGGATCCTTTTTAATCGAATCTTTAAAATATTTATCCGCAATTTCTGGACGAATGAAACTTTTCGTACTACCTGTGTCTATCAATATTTTCAAATGTAACTTAGGAAAAATAATGTAAGGTAATTCACTATCGCTATTTGTATTCATTAGCTCATAATGAGGCATTACTGATCCGAGGCTGTTTGCCGAAAAAATTGATCTCCATCATTATCTTGATTCGAATCATCAGGTTCGTTTGGGTAGTCAACCTGTGGCTCCTGGTCTATATTAAATAATTCCTCAACCACGTAATTGGGTCTCGAATTGTTGTGATTTACAAAATAATTGTTATTTGGATTTCTTTGGTACGATTGATTTTGGTGAGGTCTGAATGTATTTCTAGTTGATGTCGACATAGGTGTAGGTTTAGGAAACAATTGATTTTGATTCGGCCTAAACACATTAGGTTGCTGTGTTTGTCTAGCATTGCTCTGGCTACGATGATTTTGGTTATGAGGATAATTAGTAATAGGTAAGGGTGGTCTAAACTGTGAGTTTTGGAAATTTTGAGGATTTCGCTTAAATTGATTTGCCTTCGGATGATGTTTTTGACCAAACTTCTGTTTAAATTGATTTTGTTGTACTGCCTCTAACTGAAAATCATTCGTAAGCATGTGCAAAGCTTGATTGAGATCTTCTGGGTTTTTTGTACGCATTAAAGATCCAATAGGTTCCTTCAAACCTCTTAATAAAATTCTTAAAGCTAGATTTCTACAATAGTTATTAACTATTATAGCTTCATTTTCTGGTAAGTGTGATACAGAGTATGAAATTTGTAAATTTAACAGATGCTGAATCCTATTATAAAATTCAAAAGGGTTTTCGTTTTGATTTTGCCTTAATTCTACCATCTCTATACGTATATTCAACGTGAAAAGATCGCGCTTATCTGCATAAGCATTGAGAAGAGCATTTTTTAAATCTTGCCAGTTTTTTATGTGAGACGAAGAAATATTAAGTGCTGCGTCGCCTTTTATTTTCGCAAGCAAACTTGACATCAAATATTCGTTTTGAAAGTCCTCTGGATTTGTTGCATTATAAAATTTCGTGACTAATTTCTCTGAAATTTCAAGAAATCTGGGTAATAATTCTGGTTCACCATGAAAATCAGGAATCATGTGCAAGTATTCCGGTTTTAGGAAAGGTACATTGTTTGAACTAGTAGTCATTATGACGTTACTTAATAGAGATTCCGCCGTGGTCCAATATTCCTTTGGTCCTCTGGTCCAATATTCCCTTGGCCCCTTGGTTGACGTCTTCTCACTTGGCTACTCGATCCACCAAGTTGGAATTCCTCTAGATGGTTGAGTCCACGCGACCGACCGAAATTACCAATTCGCGAGACTTTTTTTCGGTTCGTATTTGGTTAATCGTTCGACGAAGGGTGGTTTATAAGCCGTAAACAACCCCCAAAGATCCTACTGGCTGCGCCACTAATATTTCGGGATAACGTAAGTGCCGTTTTAAAAAATATTTATTTCCGAAAATACAGTAGTGGATGGTACGAAAGTTAGATTAAGACTAAATTTTAATTATACAAGTACAATGTTCGTTAGCATGAGTAAAAACAGGAAACATATCATGTTGCATTTCAACGGTTGCTAGGCGCTGCGATGATGTGCTGACTTGCATTTTCTATTTTCTAGCTTCTACAGGGTAGCCCTATAACTTATATATATATATATATATAACTTGAGACGTGGTCATTGTCGTCTAGACCAGTTAGGTGAAAAATTAAAGCTTCCGCCTTTTGTTGGGTACTTCGACAAAATTTAAGCAAGGAAGACTCTTTATACTTTTTTAATCTCTCTAGCTTTTAATGGTCTTTGCCATCATCATCAGGAGCTGCAATTACATTGATAAAAGTAGCAACAATTGTGTAAAATGAATTTAAATTAGCTTACTGTAGTATGTGAGGATGTTGATGAATGTTATTTACGTTAAGGATGAGGGAATTACCCAGTAAAATGGTGAAAGCTGGATACATGGTACAATGGTCAAAATTATACAAACTACACACAGCTGTATGACAAGAACAAATTAATTAATTTGTTTATTTTATAAAAGCCCGTATATAATGTATGATTATTTTTATTATCACTTAATAATCGGTGCTTTTTCGTGTACAACGTTGTATGGAAAGTTTAAAAAAGAAACCTTTGATAATATTAATGGGAGAAATGTTTTTTTTTTTAGAAAAAAATGTTTAATGATGGAACCATGGCTTTGTAGCTATGATAACTTTCAATTCTCTAAACTTTTCCGCATGTCAAAGAAAATGTTTATTGATTTAGCAGAAATGATAGGAAAACACGAAAAAAGATATTAACATCAAAACCGCGCATACAGGTGGACATCATCCAGTGAGTTTATATGGCCATATTTTAATATTCTTATGGTATATGGCTACACAGGATCCTTTGTTAAGCATAGGAACTGGATTTAAAATGTCCCCAACAACCGTAATGATTATAACTAATAAGGTGCTCTACTTTATGCTAAAACTGAAGTCAGCCTGTATCAAGTTTCCCAAAAATGAAGCTGAAGTACAATAAAAATATCTAATACCCAGCAAATTTCTAACTTGTATATTTCAAATAATAACCAGAAATATGAAACTGCTCCTGAGTTGGGTAAATACCACAATTTTACGGTGATAACTATGACTTATAATAGCTGATTCATGACGTCACGGGTCTTATAAACAAACTGATAACCACACTCGCTTGAACGGATCGGTAAATACCAATCCAAAATGGTAAATACCATTTTCATTTGGTTATCCGCTTGAAATTGATTATAACCTCACTTAACATTTGTGGGTGTGGTCCTGTTTGAGACGTACGAAGAAGCGTTTATTGTTATTGTTTATTCATAATGTCGTGGAATCGGGAAGAAGTTACACTGTTACTGGAGGAGTACCAAAATTGGCCAAACCTGTACAAGGTGAAGTCACCCAATTACAAAAACAGAAATTTACGGCGTCAGGCGCTGGATGCGTTAGTGGAAGCATTGAGAAGTTTTATAATATTAACCAAGATCTCGATTTCAAAAATAAATTTAAATCAACGACGTCTGTTGTCTTTCCGATTATATTGGACGTCATACCCGTTAAGGTTATGTCCATTCGAAAATATTACTCTAATGCGCAGGCGTATCATATGGAAATTTTGTTTGCCTGTATCATACAGGTTGTAGAGAAAATCTTCAATATTTTTTCCATGCAAATTTTCGGCATAATTATGACCATAATTTTCGGAGTAATTCTCTTGTGTGTAAAACGGCTCTAAGGGTACGGACTTTTTTCTCAGAGTCTAGCTTGTGCTGAACATAATCCTTCATGAACTGACGGCGGTGTTGCATGGGAAATGCTAGCTCGACGCGCGGACCACCGACCTATCGAGCTACTGTAGTACTGCACTATAAAAGCAGTTATAGATTCTGGTAACAGATGGTATTTTATGATGTCTTATGTCGATCAACAAACAGCATTAGTAGTTCAAATAATCGTGCCTTTAATGTTTGATCCATGTTAAGAAAGACTCGGTATAGTTCTACTATATGGTACAAGGTTACTCTGAAGTCTGGAATCGGTCAAACATATTGGGAAGTCGATTTTCACCAAATTTTAAACAGGCCGCTAGACGATCATCGTGCTGCATTCTGCATAATACGAAGTGCGCTGCTGCCACATTTAACACTTTTTTGTAAAATATCTATCCTTTTAAATGCTAAGACAATGATGGAAAACATCTTGACATGACTTATGAATGTCGGGCCTACATTTAGAAGCACTCATTCTAGATCAGAAAGTGGTAATTGCGCGCTTTCCAGACTATTATTTAACCAGAAACAATATTACTTTAGTACGTCTGAATACAGTAATATTTTCCTTATAATGACATATTAATACTCTAACAATGCTTGGAATAACTTTCATATAGCAGAACTCCATCTAGGCTACTTATGAAGATATATGGCAACATAATCAAAAGTTTTGCAGTTTATGGAATATCTTGGAAATCAGTGAACAGATATCAATAAAGTTTTAGACATAGGCACAACCAGTCGTTGAGCTATTTCTGATTATGTTATCATATATGCATAAGCATACTAGGGGGAGTTAATCTTCTAATACTAGAGAGTTAATATACGCTTATAAACAAGATCACTCAATAATAAACAATCTATTCAAAAATGATCGGTTTTTCCTCTAGTTAAAATTTGATGCATATCGATCCAGTACTTTCCAAGGTTTCTATTTTTGTATTATCAGCTATGATACCATTTATAAATTTATTTCAGAGCATGCAAAAAGGGTTGACATACTTCAGTAAAAAATGTAGTATCGCATTTAAAATTGAAAAGTCGAGTAGTTTATGAAAAAATAGAACAACTGATATAACGCGGTGATTACCAACTGATCAAGAATGCTGGTGAATATATATCAGTCCACTAGTACCGAAGATATTTGGCCGTTTACAGACCTATATAGCTCCGTATAGTAAAAAGTCCCGTACTTGAGTTAGTATCTAGATAGGTATCTAAGCTTTCCATACTTACGGCCATCACTAACAGTACTGCATGCCAAAGAATATACTGGTTGATATTTAAATGAGCGAAAAGTACCCATAGTACCAAACCAGTCACCACAGCAATCAACTGGTGAAGAAGAAGGTTCGCTATCGTAGAAACTCTGTTGCACAATGAAACACTTTCTTGCAAACTTGCACTATTTGCTGTCACATCGTTTCCCTTAATTTCCATGATAGCGTTCTAGGTTGAAGATGCTGTATTCGTGTTTGTGGTCAAGTCGTATGTGAAGTTTATCAAAATGTATTTTTCTCATCGGTTGCCGGTCGGGTTATGGCATCCAGCGACGTGTTTCATTGATAACGCTACGCATACTGAAAAAGGGGATTTCCAAATAGTCCGAGAAAAATATACTGAAAATATCGGAACAGCATTTTGTGGCTCTGTCTTATTTCGATAGATCTCACATTTTTGATGGTGTATAGTTGGTATGCTTTCGTTCGTTGTTCTAGCCAAAAAGCAGGAAACAGCTATCTATGGTTGACTGTCTTTGGTCGAACGGACAAAAGAAGCATGTTTTGCTTGTTCAATGGCAAGCAGACCGTATCTACTACACATCTAGAATAATCGCCATCTAGCGGTCATGTGGTGACTGGACCTCCAATTGCGGACTGAGATCTATAAGGTCCCAACAAGTAGCTGATATATCTACTGTTCACAGTGATCGATTTTAGAGGTAGATGGCCCTTCGCACTGTCTTATTTCGAGAGATCTCACACTTTTAATAGTGTTGCTATGCTTTCGTTCATTGCCCGAGGGACCAAGCCTAGACCATGCTGATGAGTTACCAGAAAGCACGTTAACACCTGTCCATGAGTGGCTGAATTTGGTTGGACGGACGAAAGCATCATTTTTTAATATCTACGAACAGAGCTTCAATCGTCGCCAGAAGGGGCAACCACTGCTACCTTTTTTGGTTAAAAGATTATTTCCCCTTGGATTTCTTGGATATTCTTCCTCTAATCCTCAAATAATTCAAATTCCATGAATGACACAATAAGTTTACTACGAGTTTTTGGATTTTTCAAGAAATATAATTTAAATATATACGGGGGCTAAAGATACAGGGTGTTAAGTATACAGGGTGTCTGCGAAAGGTTTTGAAATCACGAATCTGGAGATACTACAGACCAAAATATGTGAATTGGCGTAAGCATACCTCAGTCCAAAAGTTGATATTTTGCGAGATACAAAGTTACAATTTTGTTTTCTATTTTTCCATACTGCTTGAGAAGTATTTCAGGTTTTGGCATAAAACGCGGTATAGGGAGGTTTTCTAGTATGAGAAACAAGAATCCGTTATTTTATGGACAAACTACAGCACTATTACGGTAAATAACTTATCATTAACATTGTCATTGACACCTCATTTTGACTTGCCTTATTGCACTGAATCCGCGTATACCTCGAGAAAACTGTTGAAATATTTTATTAATCCCTACTGCAACTATTATTGGGGTGCAGCTCCGTTCATATTCTTGGAGGATAACAGATTTTCCAGTGGCAAACATATTTTCGGCCAATACAGCGAAGAATTTTGACATCAATCATCTAGACTAGAAGATCATACTGGGTACTCCATGAATAAGAAAAAAAAGAAAGCTGCTGAGATTGCTTCAGCTAAGTCTGAGGGTGCTAAAATGGTGGTAACCAAACCAAGTGATGCACCAACGGAAACACCTAAAAACAGTAAGTGCCTTAGAACAACAAATCAGGAGCTAAAAGAGGAAATAAAAATATTATGTGAAAAAGTTAATTCATACAGTCAGTTATTAATAGAAAAAGATAGATTGATTGAGCAACTTGTGAACGAGAACACTATATTTCAAGATCAGCTGAATTTATTGTCGACAAATATTACTGAAAAAGAAACTGTAGTTGACGCGCTCAAGAAACTGAATACTCGGATTGACATAATTGAAAAATCAAGTATGACAAGCACTTCGTATTCGCAAATTGTAAAAAAGACCTATGCTACAAAAAGCAAGGAAATCCCATTGAAAAGCACAGTGATTATACCAAGCCAGCAACAAACAAGCCTCAAGACGCGTAAAGATCTAGACAAAAACTTAAGCTTGTCTAAACTTCAAATCAAAATTGACGACGTAAATAATTTTAGAAACGGTGGTGTGGAAATTAAGGTCCACGAAAGTAATCATGCCCAGTTAAAGGAACAAATTCAGAAAAAATTGCCAGCATCGTACCAGGTGTCTGAATCGAAAATGTTTAGACCTAAAATCAAAATCGTGAGCTACCATACAGATGAACGAATTACCGAAGAAGATGTAGTAGAAGACATCACAAGACAGAACCATTTCATAGAAAAAGAAGATATTAAGATAAATTTTATTAAGTATATTGCGCAAAAAAATATATTATTAACGCAGAGGTCACAGGTAATTTATTTAAACAGATATTTGAAGATTATAATGGAAAAATTCTATTAGGATTTCAAAATGTATCTGTATACAAAAATAATGAAGTGTCTCAGTGCGCAAATTGTTTCCGATTTAATCATTCTGGAAAAAAATGCCAAAATCCTAAAGTCTGTGCTCAGTGTGGAGAAAACCATGACACTTCCTTTTGTAAGCAGGGACATTCGAAATGTTCCAACTGTTTGTATTCAAATCATCAGTATAAAAAATCTTACAGTACCGATCATCTTTCGACAGACAAAAATTGCCCAGTGTATGAATTTTTTCAACAAATACATCTCTCACGAATTTTATTTTTATCATTTTAGAATTATTTAGAATACTCAAAATCTGTTCTAAATTATGTACGATTCAAATACTCTTAATGGCTGGTAGTAAAATACTTATCGGACACTTGAATGTACGTTTCCTCATGTCTAGTTTTGATGCTATTGTAAATTTAATAGCATTAGAAAATTTTGAAGTATTCGCTGTTACAGAGACGTGGCTAAATGAAAATGTTACTGAGGATGTGGTTAATATTAGCAACTATTGTTTCTTGCGTTGTGATAGAGAATCTCGTGGTGGTGGAGTTGGAATCTATGTTAAATCAAATTTACATGCTGAAAAGGTAGATATTCATAGAAATTTTGGTGATTTTTTCGAAAGCATTTGGGTTAAATTGGTTGCGGCTAAGTGTGAACTGTTAGTAGGTGTTTTGTACCGACCACCCTCTAAAAACATACAACAATGTGCAGATTTATTAAATGGTTTCCTACCCAGCCTCTCGTTATATCATCATAACATCGTGATATTGGAAGATCTGTATATTATTTTTTTAATAACAGTATATTCTCACAGAGTTTTGAGCTGATGGGGTTCACACAAATCGTAACGGAAGCCACCAGTGTCACAGATAGTACTGCAACATTAATCGATCCAATATTTTTAAATAAACCTCAAACATGCAGCTATTCTTCCATCATGGACACGAATAGTATTTCGGACAACAAACTCGTATTTTTTCGTTTTGACATTCCATCTTATAAAAGAAAACAAAAATTTATCACAATCAGGGATTTTAAGCATTTCAGTGAGGGTCATTTTCTTATCGATCTTTCTACATCCGGCATAGATAAATGATTTACGAAATTTAATATTGATGAGAAGGTAATGCACATTACAAGCATTATCGTGGAAACCTATAATAAACATGCACCTTTTAAAACTGTAAGAGTTAATAAGCCACCATCACCTTAGTTAGCTAATTAACTAATGAACTGCGCACTGTTCTTGATGAAAATAATACTGCACAAGCTTTATATAAAGCTAATAAGACCGTGGACGCCTATAATAACTTCAAATCGCTTAGAAACCGTGCTCTTAACATGATCAGGAGGGACAAAAAGACATATATCGAAAATTTGGCAAATGAAAATGATTCAAAAAAATCGTGGAAGTCTCTCAAACAACTTGATATAAATTTTCGTAGTAAACCAACCCTTCCGGCAACTGTTAATGACCCTACCAAAATTAATGATCATTTTATGTCTGTTTATAGCTACAAACCTGTTGATTCACTAGTTTGCGAAAACTATTTCAAAAATAAATTAAGCTCTGAATATATTTTTTCATTGAATAAGATTAGTTCAAAAGACGTATTACAGGCAATACGGAGCCTAAAATCTGATACGAAGGGAATTGATGGTATATCCCTGTCAATGATCCAGCTTTGCCTGCCAGTTATTCTCCCTCACATTGTCCACATCGTTAACGACTGTTTGGAAAAAAGCTACTTTCCAAAAACATGGAAACAAGCTCTAATTATTCCAATTCCTAAAAAAATAAAACCCACTGAGTATAATGATCTCAGACCTATCAGTTTATTACCAATTTTATCCAAAATTTTAGAAAAAACTATAAAGTTCCAGTTGACCGCTTACCTAGAAAAATTCTTTATACTTCCCGACACTCAATCCGGACTTAGAAAAAATTATAGTACAACATCTGCCCTACTTAATCTGCAAGACAATATTTTAAGTGCCTTAGATAAGAAAATGGCACTAGCCTTAATCTCTATAGACTATTCGAAAGCCTTTTAAAGCATCAATCATAAATTATTACTTGCTAAATTAAATTACATAGGTCTTGACAGTGTATCCCTTTCATTTTTCGACAGTTACCTTCATCAAAGAACTCAGTGTGTGTTTCTCAATCAAGAAATGTCTCAAGTGACAATAATTCCCTCAGGCGCACCTCAGGGCTCTGTATTGGGGCCGCTTCTGTTCCTTATATATACGTTCGACTTAAGCAAAAGTATTGACAATTCTCATGTCCAGTCATTTGCAGACGATACGCAATTGCTTCATTATTTTAACCCAGATAATGTCAATAATACTACTCAAATTTTACAAAACGATGTTAATAAATTAATTAAATACTCTTTAGATCACAATCTACTTATTAATCCAAATCTAAAATGTTATTATTTTGCGCACAAAGAAAAACATACTTGTACAATGTAACACAGCTCTTGAACATTCAGATAAATAACCAAATCTTGCAATTTTCTGATTCTGCAAAAATTCTTGGTGTTGTTTTTGATACAAAATTAAGGTTTACTGAACATGTTAAAAGTCTATCTCAGAAAACCTACCTACGGCTGCGCACTCTTATAGCAAACAGGTATTTACTAAATTTTATGTTGCTTAAAAAACTATGTGAAGTATTGGTCATTTCTATACTAAATTATTGGAATATCGTATACTATACTTGTTTAGACAATTTCACTAAAAACGTTATTCAAGTTATTCAAAACAATTGTATACAATTCATTTTTGGCCTACGTAAATTTGATCA